CAGGCACACAACACCTCGGAGGGATAAGCAAAACCAGGCACAGTGACTGTCTCTGGGGCCAGTGTCGGGGGGAAGATGTCTCAGTTTATATCTTTTCTTCCTTTGAACATCAAACAACATCAAATCAGCCATTATTTCCATAATCTTACAAAGTTCAGGCCTTTGAGGCCAGCCCATCGACTGAGATGGGATGTCAGCTGTGGGTAAAGCTTCCTTCACTTCAGGCTGTGAGAAAGCTGTGGTACCACCAGGGGGTTCATACAGCAGCCACGGTCTGAATAAGACATTTGGGAAGTGTTTGACTCGTTTTTAGCCACCCTACATCACCTGTTCAAAATATAAGTAACTTCAGACTTTGCGAACGGCCTCCAACGTCTCCAGTGGGGAGCACACACAGCGTCTTCTCGGCGTCTGGTCTGGAGCTCCAGGGTGAGCACTGGCCTCCAGCGGCTCTCTCCTCGTCCTGTCCACACAGGATGCTGTCCCCTCCCCTTTCCATCACCTTCTGGGTTTTCCTTCATCATCCTGGCTTAGCTCTGGGACCTCGATGTCCCGTCCTGGACTCTGGATCTCTGTCCCTCCTCTCTCCACGTCTCCTCTATCACCAGCCTAGAAATCTCACAGCAACACCCAGTCCCAGGGCGCCGCCCTCGGAGCCGTCCTGGGCTCCCTTTCAGAGATCAAGAACAGCCTGGCTCTATCTGGCATCCCTGGAGATTCATGGCCTTTATCATTATCCCAAAATAAATCTAAAGCACAAAACCATGGCCTCTCAAGTTTCCGCTTTTCCTCCCGGAACCCTGAGCTCTGCCTGGCTTCAAGGAGCATGACAAAGAGGGCATTCAGGGGCCTCTGTGTCGTGGCAGCAGGGGGCCTGGCCGCTCACTGCACTCGGTGTGCACAGATCCGTTGGGAGGAGCCGACCTGTTTTCAGTCTGGAGTGGAATAACGAAAGCGTGAGTTGCCGGAACCTCTTTACCCAACTCACCACAGGTGAGGCGGCTCGGCCCGTGTCTAGGGGAGTCGCCGGCCTTGGACCTTAAATTGTCTTAAACCCAATTTCCCATGTGCCTGACTCACTCTGACCTTATCCCAAAACACTCAGAGTGTTTTCTCGATGCCACCTTGGACCCTGGAGCCCTGCATGTTCTCTCCTGGGATCATCTAACTGTAATCCACAGTGCGCCGGGGGTCCAGCCACAACGTCTCCCTTTGGCCTCCAGGAGCCTAAAATTAGGATCCTCTAGCTTCTGTGTCTGCAAAGATGCTCAGAGGTATAATCCCTAAAACTTGATAATCTAGCCAACTGCAGTTACGAGCCACCCACCCCTCTGATTGTATTGCTGTGGTGTGGACATGATCTGTAGTTTCCTCAAAGCATCGGACACGGAGCTTGGGAGAAAACAACCTACAGGTGGGCTCCTGAACCATATCAAGCACCTGTATCCCTCACCCACCTGTAGCAACTGTGTTTCCTTCTGCCTGTCTCCCCCTAAGAACCGGGGAGGGGAGGGAGGGACCTGGCTGGGGTTTCACTGGTCTTCCCCAGGCATAAGACATCACTCCCAGTGCTCAGCGAATACATGTGAGCAGCCTACACCATAGCTGAATATTTTGGAAACATCTTTGCTACTGGGATAACTTGATAGAAGTGATTCTTCAATTCCAAGCCCTGATGGATTAGTCATTGCACTAAACATTTCTATTCTGTCCCCAAACACCACCCACAGTGGCTGATGATGTCCCTTCCCTGGGACTTCCCAATTTACTGGAAATGAAGTTTAAAGAACATGTTTTTAGGAGTAGGCTGCAGGTGATCCCATAATTGTACAAATAACCTTGATCCAAAGCTTTCCAAACTGAGTTAGACTGACTCGATCAATTTCTGCCTTGAGTCTCAGCTCTCTCTCTCTCTTTTTTTTTTTTTAAGGAAGATTAGCCCTAAGCTAACATCTGCTACCAGTCCTCTTTTTGCTGAGGAAGACTGGCCCTGAGCTCACATCCATGCCCATCTTCCTCTACTTTATACGTGGGATGCCTACCACAGCATGGCTTGCCAAGCGGTGCCATGTCCACACCCAGGATCCAAACGGGAGAACCCCGGGCCGCTGAAGCAGAATGTGCGCACTTACCCGCTGTGCCACTGGGCCGGCCCTGAGTCTCTTTTCTAACAGTTGGAAATACACTGCTTTATTTCTAAAATCCAAGTGGCAAGTTTAAGTTATGGAAGAACTAACACTTTTGATTCTGATGCTGTGTGTTGCATACTCTGTGGACAAATAGCTGAATGTTTTCACCCTAGTGCCATTTCAACAGGGACAGACCCCAATTCCCATCTTGACCAGGAGGTGCTTGCTCTGCGCGTGCGTAAAAAGCCAGTATCTGCTCTTCCGTTGGTGCGTGTAGCCCAAGCGACTGCCAGTTTACCCACATGAGTCCTTATGGGAAAGCCTTGATCTGATTTAATATATTGGCTAGACTTTCTAATCAAAAGTATGGGCAGTGCTTGGTGCTCCCGCACAGGCAGCAAATGATTCTCTCGACTCTGACTGGTGACCAGTAGGTGGAGCTTGTCACTGTACCCAGAGCTCCCACCAACCAGATCAGAACCTAGCTGTCCAGTTACTGGAGCCATGGGCCAAGCTGGCCAGTTTTCTCTTCTAGTGGGTTCATGTTTCAGTTCTCATTATTGGCTTAGAAGCCGCTCTAGGGCTCCCAGGCTGGAAGGCTGAAACCCCTCTCGCTGCCACCACCACCCTTAGGCAATGTGGGGCTTGCTGCTAACCTTAGATCCATTTGCAGGTCTCGCTGTGTGGGGAAACAGTTTCTAGGAGCATCTAGAAAGCTGACCAATGCTTCTGCCTCTGCATTTTGGTCCAGGGGGGCAAAGTCTCTGAGACCAAGAGATAACTAAGTAAAACCTAACTTTCAAAATTTTTTAGTAACACCCCAGTGTTCTAAATCTTGCTGGCTGATGTCCTGGAAAGTGTGCAGGGATCCCTGAAAAAATGATGATCAATGCTGGCTCAGAAATGGGTTTGTACCCTTACACAGGTGACCTCAAGGGCCACTGGGTCAGCCAGGTGTGAGGCATCACCAGGTCCTCACCCAGGACAGTGCTCATCCAATGAGATGCTAAAACCATGTGAACAGTTAAGGGAAGTTTGAGGCCCTTTGAAGAAAAGGGAAGGTACTTCTTGCTGCAACCCAACCAGCTTCCAATTAGGGTCATGCCACTTTCTGCTCTGTCCACTCACTGCTGAGGATGCTCCCAACACCCAGGAGGGGACGGGTGACTCCGCCTAACGTGAGGATAATGACCCGAGTTTCTGATGAGTTGGTGGTGAGACCTTCTCGGCCAGAGGTGTTGGCAATGGAAGCCTTTATTCTCATGGAATCTGAAAGCAGAAACCACCCCTTGTGTGGGCCCCTGGGGAACCACCTCTCCGCGGCATGGGGGTAAGACAGTGCTCCAGATCACATACACTGGGCATTGTGTGTGAGTCAGGGACTTTCCTTAAGCCACCGTGTAGACGTTATTGCTCCTACATACTAAGAGTCCTCACTGAAGGTTTCTTGCTGTTGCTGTTGTAAGGCAGACCTTGACATTTCCACTTACCTCTCTGATAACCTCAAGGGGGTAAAGATTAGACAGGAAGATTAACCTGAGTCCCAGGTTCTTTGCACAATTTATTCAGGAGATAGCATATCTCCCCACACCCCCGTGTCCAATTTTCTTTCTACAAAGTGCCCCTGCTGTCGTTATTTCTGCCTGCATAAGCTTGGAGAATTCAAAGTTGCCCGGCTATTGAATATGAAAACTTTGGGCACAATTTGTATTTATCACACTCCTTTTTGTTTGAAGATTAAAAATCCAGATGGGATCATCTGACAGCAGGGTTCCAGGTGACAGCCTACACTCCTCCCCAAGTCTCCTTTAAATGAGGTGAAACTGCTGTGGTTTCTATACCCAGGTGTTCAGAATCACTGGGGAACTTTAGAGTCCCGAGTTTCACCGCAGTCCTGACACAGACTCTCCAGCCGTGGAGAAATCTCGAGGCATCTGCACTTTGCTCCCCAGGGGACCCAGGGTTGGGACCCATTGCTTTATTGGTGGTTATTTTCCGACTGCATTTTGGCCCTGTTGTTCTGACCTGGTACAACTGTGGCTCAAGAAGTCTCCGGATCAGCCTGAATAACGCTGCCTGGGTGCCGCGGCGCTGTGGAGGAGCGAGCTGCGCCTCTGTGCATTCTTCATGGAGACACAGAAGCATTTAACGCAGGCATATGGCTCCACTAGAAAGGGTCATTTATTAAGTGCTTCATACCGTAGGGTCTCCCTTGCTGCCATCACCCTATAGTAATCTCTTGAGGTCACCTTGCCAGCTCGCCTTCCACAGAGACCACTGTGGGCATCATCCGTGTGTGTGTGTGTGTGTGTGTGTGTGTGTGTCCGTGTGGGGGGAATGATTCACAGGCCTCCTGGCTCCCTCTCGCATTCCAGTGTCAAACGTGCCCGAGGCCCCGCAGTCACTGCAGCGTGTCTTGTGCTGGAAGCGGCCTAAGTACGCGTGTGGGAGCCCGGCGTGGGCGCCCGCCGTCTGGGTTTGCCCGGAGCGCCGGGGCTGGGAAACCGCGTCTCTCTGCACACCTCCCTCGGAGCGCCCTGCTCCCCCCAGCTCTGCGCCCCCTCCGCCAGGTTCTGCCCCCCTGCCCGGGCCGGCTCTGCGCCCCCTCCGCCAGGCTCTGTGGCCCCCCACCCTCTCACCCTTCCATCCAGCCCTCCCCACCTCCCCCGCCCCGAGCCCAGCTCAGCGTGCCCCCAAGCCCTCCCACCCTTTCTCTCCCCTCTCCTCCCGATTGTGTCCCACTACCCAGCCTAGCTCTGCGCCCCGCCCCCGTCCCGCCCCCGTCCCGCCCGGCTCTGGTCAGCCCTGCCCTCCCTCCCCTCCCCAGCCCGGCTCCGCCCCCAGCCCCTCCCACGCGGGCCCCGCCCTCACCTGCGGTCTCACGCGGGGCGGGGCCGCCCGACGATGACAAAGCAGCGGCCGCGGCGCGGGACCCGCCCCCCGCGCTCGGCGGGTGCGTCGGCCGCCCCGGCGCGCTGTTATGGAGATGGGCCGGGCGCGCCGGCGGCGATGATGGGCGGCCATGGCCCGGCCCGGCGGCTCCAGCGGCGCGGCGGCCGCGGCGGAGCGAGCGGGGGGCGCGGGGCGGCCGGAGCCGTGGGAGCTGTCCCTGGAGGAGGTGCTGAAGGCCTACGAGCAGCCCATCAACGAGGAGCAGGCGTGGGCCGTGTGCTTCCAGGGCTGCCGCGGGCTGCGGGGCGCGCCGGGCGGCCGACGGCGCATCCGGGACACGGCGGACATCCTCCTGCGCAGGGACGGCTCGGTGGGCGCGCGGCGGGAGTCCGGCGCCGCGGGTGAGGCTGGGGCGGGGGTGTGGCCGGGCGCTTGGGGCGGCGTGGTGGGGAGCGCGGGGGGCTGGGCCAAGCCCCTCCGTCCCGGGAAAGGGGCTGCGACCCCGCTCTGCCCTCCCCTATGCCCTTCCTCTGCTAGTTAGGAGTCTCCCCCCTCCGCACCTTCCCTCCGGCTGGACCCGGAGCTCCCCCCCAACCCCGCACCCTCTCTCTGCTGGACCCGGCGATCCCCCCTCCGCACCTTCCTTCTACTGGACCGGTTGCCCTCCCTCACTCTCCCTCTGCTGGACCCGGCGTCCCCTCCTCTGCACCCTCCTTCTGCACCCTCTCTCTATGGACCCGGCGCCCCCTCCCGCACCCTCTCCTCAGCCTTCTCTCTCCGTGAGACCGGAAGGCCCTTATCCGCGTTCTACCTTTTCTGGATTGGGACACTGGCCCCCCCACCTCTCTGCTGGACCCAGACCTCCGTCCCTCCCCCCTCCTCTCCCTCCCTGCCTCTGCTGGACCTAGGAGTGCCGCTCCTCCCCATCCTCCCCTCTCCCTGTCCTGGACCCCGCCCCCTCCCCCCCAGCACCACCCGTCAGGAACCCATTTCTAACATCAGGGCCAGCTGCTCTCTTGCCTCAGAGGAGAGGGACTTTGGCTTGATGGCTGAGCAGTACCTTCAGTGGAGAGACCAGATTCTGCCTTTCCTGTCCCCAATTCTCCTAGCCCCACCTGGAGCTAGTTCCGTCTGCTTTGTGGGTCTGCAGCCCTCAGACTTTTCCACCCAGTGGTTCAGGGCGTGGAATCCTTGTTGCGTGGTAACTGCAGACCTGTGCCTTAGGCAGAGTCCTGGTTGGGCTCTTTTTCCTGAGTATGAGGGAGAGGAGGCCGGGGCTGTGCCTCACTCGGAATCCCGGCTGGATTGCCACCAATTTCCTGGGTTTAATAGAGAGCAGGAAGAACGTTTAAAATTTGGAGACAACTTGCTTGGTTTTTCTGCTCTTAATCATCAACAAGAACCAACAATTAAGCTTGAAAGGTATCTGAAGTCTATTCAGAATGGTGAGTTTACATGATTTTTAGACTCTTTCTTTAAAAAAGTGTTATTTCTTCCCTGGAGAACCAGAGTTGTGGTATGGAGCTCTGCTGATATTAGCCCAGAAGCTGGTGTCCTGTGGGGAGGCTACTGTGTGTGCTGGAGGAGGGCTGGACTCCAGCCCTGGGAGCTGGGGGTTTGCAGAGACCCTCGGGGCAGCCTTCCCAGAGGACGGGGGAGGCCCCGGCAAAGCTAGACAGAAGTGACAGCAGCCTTGGTACCAGGACCAGTCTGCTGAGCCCTGCCCAGGGACCGTCGCTGCATTTCTCTGCTAGTTCCTTCTCGTTCCTGTGCCCTGTTGCCACCGCCTGCTACACCTCTGCCATACAACACTTGTGAGTGACTGTATTTTGCACAAAAAGTACCAATATATTTGACAGGTTTAACACAGTAACAGTTGGCATGTGAACGGTGTTATTCCCATTTTACGTTAGGGTAAAGTCTTGCCCAAAGCCACACAGAAAGTGGCAGGATTTGGAATCAGCATTCATGCTCTTTTTTATTCCTTTCTTTCTTTCCTTTTTTTTTTTTTTTTTTTTTGCTGAGGAAGATTTGCCCTGAGCTAACGTCCACTGCCAGTCTTCCTCTTTTTGTATGTGAGCCGCCACCACAGCATGGCCAGATGAGTGGTGTAGGTCTGTGCCTGGGAACCGAACTTGGGCTGCTGAATCAGAGTGCGCCGAACTTAACCACTGGGCCAGTGGGGCTGGCCTAGCACTCATGCTCTTAATGCCCGTGTTCACTGTCTCCAGAGGCTGGGCTGGGAGCACTGTGCATGATGGCCTCATCGCACCTGTGGGGCCCTGGAATCTGCATGTTCACAGAGAGCTTTTCTCCCGAAGCTTTATTTTCCTCCTTAAAAGCCCATCCCTGCACTCCTCCCCATCCTTAGAGACAAACAATATGACCCAGGGTCTGGCTCCTGGCACCACAGAGCGGGACAGAACTATAGGGGCCTACCTGGTCTGACTCTCTGGTTTTAAAGGGGAAACTGAGGCTGAGGGTGAGAAGTAGTTTGCCACCAGTCATAAGCAGCTGGTTAGAACTGAGGGGTCCCTGTGTCTCTCTAACTGTGGGGGAGTCAGGCTGTGTTTCTTATTGGTACTCTCCAAAATGTATCAAGAGGGTTGTCCTCGGGAGCAGTGTCATCTGGTTCTGTCCACCTCGCCAGCCCCCAGGGTTTATGGCCCCTTCTTCCTGCTCATTGCAGACCCAGCAGCACTTCCTGCTGCCTCCGCACTCACAGGTCCATGGAAAGCCAGGCTGGTGCACAGCTCATGGGTGGCCACTCTACCTTGATCTTTACGGGGAGGTGGCAGCCCGTGACATCAAGGAGCCCAATTTCGTTTTCCATTCTATATGATCTTTGGTTTCTATTCATAAACGTGTCTTGTAAAGGTGGATGAGGTTTATGACTTCCTGCCTCTTTAAAGATGAAGAAAAATACATTATCCTGAACTTTCTTTTCTGTTCTTGTTGAGCTTTCGTGAATCAGCTGAGCCTTTGGACCAGCCATCTCCGTAGGTGGCTGACCCCACGTTTCTCTAGGACCTGAGTGACTAGCGAATTCACTGAGAGATGCTTGCAAATCTCAACCAGGAAAATGTTCACACAAGCCCTCGGGCCTCGTCCTCCCCTACAGAGTTCTGGTAAATCCAGGTGTTAAGTAAATGTTTAAAGTGACCTTAAAGAAATCAACAAAACTGAACCATACTTGGGGGATGAATAATATTATCTTAGCATCCTGGTGGGAGTACTTCTCCCCCTCTTCCAGCTAATTGGGGAAAACTGACTAGAATAAACTTCCTGATCTTAGTCTGAAGACTTCTTCAAAACTGCTTGAAGCCCCTCGTTTTACTTAAAGTGGGAAAATGGAAAATCTGTTAACGTGGAGTTATTTTTGAGGCCATTCTTAAAACCTCCTGATGGGAAAAGGATTCCTTTTTTTTTTAATTGCACCAAGAAACGCCGTCACTGTGTGCCGTGTGTGCTGAGGCAAACTAATTCCTTAAATGCGGTGTGGTCAGGGACCAGGTGACCCTTGAATGACCTCCAGGGCGGTTCACCCCAGGAGAATGTCTGCTCCCCAAAGCAGCCCTGGCTGTCACCTCACTGGAGAGAGCTTCGCCCTTTCTGCCTACTGCTGGTGAAGCAGCCTCTCCTGCAGGCACCTGGCTGTCCGGCAGGAAGACCCCCTCGGGCAGAAGGCTGAGTGTGGGTGGGAGCGTGTGCCGTCATCATGTGAGCTGGGAGCGAGCCTGTCCCTGTGTCTCCCTTCGCCTCCCCCTTCTCCATGCTGCTTGGGCTAATTTACAGACTGCTCTACTTCTCTGATTTTTTTTCTTGTCAGTTTTGATGCTAAAACTTTCCACAGGCCCCACTCTTCACACCTGGGTGCCTCCCATGACCTGTCCACCAGGTCGCACCTGCCCCTCCAGCCCCCCTCCTGCTCTTCCCTCTGTGCCTGCAGTTCTGAGGCCAGCTGCCCCTCCACGCACCCAGAGCACTGGCACCTGTCTCCAGGGGAAGGCTCCCATGGGTGGCTCCCTGTTGCAGCCCACTGCTCCTGGATGCATGGCCTTCCCAGCATGCCTCATTTTGCAGGCCTGAGTTCCAAACACAGAAACGGTGAATAGTCTGTCCCGTGTTGGATTGTGATGTCCCTTGTGATGTCATGAGCTCCATGGGGCCGAGAATTTTTCTTCCACCTCTTTACCACCAGCCCAGCAGCTAGAGGAACAGAGCAGTGTCCTACCTGTGCCCCTTATCCTCCTCTGTAAACTGGGGTGAGTATGGCACGTGCCCGGGGGAGGAGTGAGGACTGGTGAGGGAACATCAGTACGGAGCCCACATTCATGCTGGGCCCACGGCGCACACATGTGCACAGACACAGACAGACAGTCAGACAGACAGACAGACACACACACACACACACACACACACACACACACACACACAGGTGCCGCCGCCACCACCAGCATTCTTGTTTCTCTGCTACTGTTACTGTGCATGTCACTGGAGCCGTCTGTCCCCACTGCATACACTCCTTTGTCTCCTGGCCCAATGTGTCCCCTCCCAGGGCTGAAGTAGGATTCAGGGCCACAGAAGAATGTCACTAGAGCACAGATGTTCCAGAAACCTCTGTGTCCTCTGGGTTCTAGGCACTCTAGCTAGACTCACTGGGTCGGTGACAAGTCCCCTCCTGAGTCTCCTGAGACTGGGGACTGTCCCTCTAGCTTGCCTTTATTTTTCTAAATGTTTCTCCACAGGATGAATGTGTGGGTGAGGGTGGAGTGGCCGTGTCCAGCTGTGGTGTCCCTGTCACGTTGGGGAGAAGTGAGAGCTGGTTGGAAAGATGAATCCTGCTGCCAGAGGGGAGGTTATTTCCCGCCCCCGGGATCTCCTGGCAGGTCCTTCCCACGTGGCTTCTCGGCTTCTTGTGCTTCTTGACTCCCCACCAAAGCTGCCGGTGTCACCCACCTGGCCGTCACGCAAGGGTCCTCAGTGCTCTGTGAGGGTTACCCTCTCAGGACGTGGTGTGGACATGAAGCTGGGCCACCAGGGACAGGCGCACACTCTGCCTTCCCATCGGGGTGACAGCAGGTAACGTCTGCAGGGTGCTCGCGGGAGAGAAGCTGCTTGGCGTCGGCCTGCTCTTGTTCACGCCTCTGATGAGAGAGGCATTGTGACGATCCCAGTTGTCCAGAGAGAAAACTGAGGGTCACAGGGGTCAAGTAACCGTCCAGCCCCCTGGGGATGCAGTGGGGGCAGGGCTGGGGGTGGACTCAGCCGGCTCAAGCCCTGCTCCCCACTGTCTGCCTGGCCTTGGGAAGGTGCTTTCGCTTCTGGGGGCCTCGGTTTTGTTCTCTGAAATGGGAGGGACAGGAGCAGCTACCTCAGGGGCTGTGTTAGTGTCTGTGAAGCCATGGGACATGCTGGCACGGGGAAGCACTGGCTGCTGGGATGGCAATGAAGGTGTCCTCATCCGGCTCCTATGTGCAGCCCATCTTGATCCCACTCAGGATGCAGCACCTGCAGGGCTGTGGGAATGGGCCCAGACCAGGGTCACAGGTCGCAGGCCCTGGAGAGGGTGGGGCGCTGCACTGTGCACCTGGCCGAGGGCCTGGGCGCCTGCTCCCACGCGTCTTTCCTGATGATGTAAAATGTTCTGCATCCCAGAGGACATCCGAGTACTCCCATCCCGGAAACGGGGAGTGAGGGCTGGGGGTGCTGCGCGGGGCAGGCGGGCGTGGCGAGGGCCTGGCCAGGGTGGGTGCTGGGAAGGGCGACTGTCTGTGTGACTGCGGGCTGGGTGTGTTTGCATTCCCCGTTCAGTCTCGCCTCTGAGCAAGGATTACCTCACAGGAAGGCAGTCCCTTGACGAACTGTGTTCTCTTTGGAGATGTCTGTGAAACTGCCTGTGCCTGGGGTTGGCCATCACAGATGACCCCCGGGGAGGCTAAGCCTGTGTCTGGTCACCTGCCCCCGACCCACCCGCCCCTTCACACTCACACACCCTGTGTTCGGAGGGGCTTGGATTCTTAAGAAGAGGTCCCTGTGGCTCACAGGGTTCCAGCCCCAGCCTCTCTGCCAACTTCCTCCCCACCCCCAGGTCTTCATGAAGATGGCGTTGTCTGTTCCCTGTGACCGCATCCACTGTGCTTTTCAGTTTGGCACCAGTGGCTGAGCCGTGGGGGCCAGAGGTATTTGAGTGGCTCCCACAAAGGGAGCAGTGTGCACACTGGTGGCTCCAGGCTGGGAATGTGGCCATTTAGGCAACTATGCCAGTGAGTATTGGCTGCAGGAAGATGTGAGAGGTCCACTCTGATCCTGTTAGATGCCTCAGAGGGGTTTTGGCCTCCAGGTGAGGCCCAGTCAGGGAGGAAGGCTGCCTGGGAGTGGCGTCCTGGTAATTCGGCAAATCAGCCTGCACTGAGTCCAGTGCATGTGGGGGACATGCCTGCCA